TCTTTGAAATCTCAGCACACTCACACACTGAAGGTCGGGCTCATGTGATGTGTACCCAAGATCTCCCTGGGTGGTACAACACATTGCTGCCTCTGCAGAGCTTTCCTTGTAAATCTGCTGTGCTGGGCTTTTCAGCAGTGAGGCTATTGCAGTCTCTCAGAAGCACTTTACATCGTTTCTGGGAGAAAAAGGGTGAATTTTAAAAAAGGATGTACTGCCTGTCTTTATAAACAAACATGGGGTTTGGGTCTTAATGTGAATCTGCAACCTTTGCTGAAGTATGTGTTGATACGATAGATGTGCAAAGAGAGAAGTTTTCCTTTATGAAACATATATTGTCTTCTAATTCTCTCTATTATGGTAAGCCTCAAGACCTGTTCAAATTCCCACTTTCATTATCCAGCCTACTTAACAAAAATGGTATAATGCTGAAATACAGTGGAGGCAAATTATTTTATAGCTGTCATAACAGAGGACACTATTAGCACAGTAATAACATGATGATTCCTAGTTAGTCCCATCAGTACCTTCAGGGCTGAATTATATTCCCTCTTGATAATACCTTTAAAAAGTGGATGGAGGACCAGGAAATACCTTTATTTGGGGGAATTTCTTGCCAATATTTGCTGGAGGAGGATGATCTTAGCACCTGCCGTTTTGACTCAGTTTCATGGCTCACTTCTCCATCTTTCCATTGGTGTTTGTTTTGGCATTACTAGATGAGGTAAATACTTTATGGAATAGAGAAAAGGAAAATGTAGCTGCTAGGAAACTTTGGAAATGCATCAAGTCTTTAAAGCGAGAAGAAAGAGTTACAGAAGATGGAAATGAGCAAGAGGGAAAAAGGTGTTTAATAAAGCGGCTCTACATTATCCTTCAGGGTCCACTAGATTCTGACCATATCGGTTTGTCTCCCTTGGTCCTTCATGAGTCAGAATGATGTTCAGCCAGTGACTTAAAGACTTAAGAGGAGCTTACTAAAATGAAGCCAAAATGACAAAGGTCGTGAAAATGAGGGATTTCTGTCCTTCAGTGTATCAGGATCTCCTCCTTTTGTATCCAGATCTGCTTCAGGTCACATCCCTCACAAACCCAGGTCTCATTCTCAAGGTGGCTCATTACTGGGAATCAGTGATGTGAATTTCCTCAGTTATGTGAAAGTTTCTTGAAACTTGAGGCCTGTGCTAGGTATTCCTTTGCTTTAACTTTTCATACTTAATATATTGGCAGTCTCTAAGTCATATCTGTACTTACACTGATTGAATATTTAAATACGTTATTGCTGACAATAGAAATGTTTTTTATTTCAGTGCCTCTTTTCAGTTTACTTGCAACGGTGATAATTCTCATGATGACAAAGGAGAAACCAGTATCCCTTATCCTCTTCCTCAGGTAAAGAATGGCTCGTTGGACTGAAGTACTCATGAGGGGGACCCACAGTAAATTTCCTGTTCTGCTGTTCTCTTGTGTCTTGGATGAGTTCTCTGAAAATCAGCAAATAACTGCTGCTCTAGAAGTCAAGGAATCTCACGCGAGAAACCTTGATGATGATTTTGTCAGAATTGGCATTTTCCTCTGAAATAGTTTTTGATGACCAATTTGGTATATTCTAATAACAGAGTTTGTTCTGGAGAACTTTTTGGTAATCTCTCATGTGAATAGCTTGTGTAAAGAGTCCTGGCCATAACTGGAATGCGAGTTGTAGTTCCAGCAGATGAGAGGTGTAAAGATGGATCGCAGTGCTTTTGGAACAAGTTAGAGGCAAATGCCTTGTACTCATTCCAAAGCAGACCCTTGCAATCCCAGCATTTACTCACCTCTGAAGAAAAATAACAGTTACTGTCCTTCTCAAACTCTTGGTCCACAATGGCAGCATATCTCGAAGTAATGCAAACTATGGAAGGTCTGAGTGTACCTTCAAAAAATATCATGCAGCATTGCCCCATGGAATAGCCGTGATTCAATGGTGGTTGGTTTCTAATTCAAGTCTCAGATCTTTTAAAGATCTTGGCAACACTGAAGATGAAGGTTATAAAGCATTTTGAAAGGAGCAGATTTAAAGTAGAGAAATTTTCTCAGAGGAGACAAATTTAGAAACATAAAATTAATAAACCACATTAAATGTATCTGAAATGTCTGAGTATATCCCATTCAATTTCCTCTTCTTGTATGAAGAATAATCAAGAGCATTTTTTGTTTTTCCAGAAAGCTGTAGCTAGGTTAGAAAGCACTGCTAGGCCGATCTTAGTCTGATAATAGCATAATAGCCACAAGTCCCAATGCTGACCACTGAAGTGCTTCTTCAAACATCTCTTTTGAAGAGTGCTGGCTCTAATGACAATAACAATCACACTTGGACATCCATGTGAAGAAAATATGTCTATGTAATAGGTCAAATTAGAGTTCTCTTCCTCACATCTCTTGTAAATACACATTAGAGCAACAGTCAATGGGTAAATTTGTTATTACGATCTGTTAGTAAGAGCCTCCAGATTATTCATACAAATGGTGCTTGTTAAGGCTGGCCTTGTAGGGCTAGGTCTCTGGTTGACCAAACGATACTGTGTTAATGGAAACAATTGCCTTTAAAGAAATTGCATCTCTTGGCCTTTGAGTGAAGAAAATAACAGGCTTCAAAGATTAGGCAAAAAATGCAGTCATCACAATGTGTGAGACTGCATTGCTTAATATTGCAGTGTTCCACAGCTGGAGAAAAATTACTGTGATGGTTTGCTGGAAAAAAAAGCAACCCAGACCTCTACCACCTCTTCTGATCAATAGTAATTTTTATAAAATCTCAGACAGACAGAAAAGTTGTTTGTCCCTCAAAGCTGAAAAAATAAGCAGCTGGTGAAATAAGGTGTCTTAGGTTTTCTGGAATTTTCTGGAAACACTTGTGTCTTAAACATTCATTTTTAAGCACCGTTTGTCAAATCTCCTTGGGCAGGACCCCATTACTGATTCAGTAAACATATTACAGGTGCTGTTATGCCTCTCCACAGCCAAGGCACCTTCCCAAACTTTGCACATCTGTCCAAGTGGTGGTTGTGTGACACTGTCCATAGCTGCAGCCGCAACAGCCTTTCCACAACTCTTACTAACACCATGTGATTCAAAAGGCGTTGGTCTTCCTTCAGAAGCCACTGTACTTCCAGGAGCAGATGCAACCTTATCTAAATGGTCAAGATCAGCCAGGTTACGTGTGGGACTAATTGTTGCTGGTGCTAGTGTAGGCAAAAATACCTTCTCACGTCCCTCCTCTTAAGCTCTCACACCGGATGTTACCTGTTTGCTGACCAGCTAGCTTTCTTGGTGACTTTATTTGTTTCTGTAATTCATACTCTTGTTTCTTGCAGATTCTAGGCCTTTATCCTAAATGCTTTTCTTAATAGAGCATGTCATTGCTTTCCTTCGTGTCAGCCCAAACTCTCAGCTCTAGCGTGCCACATGTCCAAGCCCTCTTACTTCTCTGAGTTTGTTCCAGTTGAAGCTGAGCAGTGTGTGTACTATAGGCTTTAATGTTCTTGCTCTTACGGGATAGGACTTTTATTTGGTATAGCCTGCCTTACATTAAAGAGCGATTTCCAATGATGGCCTATATAGGGAATCTTATGAAGAATTTGAAAAAGCATTTGACAGGGTGAAGTGAAAACATTTCATGCCCTTTTGTGCAACATGTTGGACTATAGTTTTTTGGGTTTTTTTTCCAGAGGTTATTTTAAAAAGTTTTCCTTTCTACATCTTTCAATATTTGTATTGAGAATTGGTCAAAAAAATTCTCTCTTAAAAAAAAATCCATTTTGAATTTGAAAAACTATTTAAAATCCCATTTTCTCTTCCTTATTTCTCTTCATACACACATACATACAGATATGAAAATGAGAAATGGAAAAATAACCCTGAAGCTTTTTTTCAATTTGAAGGAACGATGCCCATTTGAAAGGATTAAGGTAGGAACTGGTAAAAAGGAGTATTTCACTTTATTAATTCACGTCTGCTAACGAGAAAAAATGTGTATAGTCTAGAGATTTTTGCCAAGCTTGTTTTTACAAATTCTGAAGAACTGGGTAGCACTAATTCAGCAATATTTCTTAAAAATTGAACAGTTGAAGGGATAAAAATGGACTTATGCTACCTTTGGGTTTTTACTATTACTTTGCTTAGAGATGAATATATAAAATTCAGTTACCTGCAAAAGACCTCACTATCATTATCAGTTGGTTGACTATAGTTATATTAACTTTTTGTTTGGGCAGATGTTAGTCGTTATCCAGTATCTTACGTAAATAGTGCCTGGTCTTATTAAAAACCAATGCAAAACAGAGATCCAAAACTTAAAACCTAGGGGTTTTAGGAACTGAAATTTCAATTCTACAAGGAATACCACTATTTCTAATGCATTTCTTTGAACTTCAAAAGAAAAGCCAAATATTGTGTATTTCTTGGAAAAACCAAAAATTGCTTGGTTTTCAAGTAAAGGGTAAGAAAGTATTTAGATATGACAGGGCCAAATGGATCCACTTTTTTTTATAGTGTTTTTATTCATTCTGAATGCATTTACTTTTAAATTATAGCAAGATAGCAACACTATATGCATGGTAATGGAATGCCCTAAATTAGGCTCTTTAAAATCAAAATTGTGTACCCACTTGCCCAGTGTACCTTTTTCAGGATGAGGGTCTATAGAAACAGCCTGCTTTGGGACTTGATCTCACAGGCATCTGGGACAGAAAAGAGGTCTTCCACAGACTAATGACATCTGGGAAAAATCTGTGGCTTGTAGCAGAGCAGCGAACAGATAGCCATAACCCTGGAGATCGGGAAGGAATTTATGAAATACACATGGACTCATAATATGGTATTTAATGTGATATGTTCATCCTGAAATGAGAGACATTTAAGTGGTTTGCTAAAGAAATATTCTCACTTTTCCTGCTGTAGAGTACCTGTAAACCAGCACTTTCTTATTTCTATGTGTCTTTTGAAATTTCTCCATTTAGAACATCCTGCAGTTGGAAAAATCAGAAGCGTGCCTGCAACCCTCCAGAGGAGACAGAGTGATTCAAAGGCCCTTCTTGGACTGTGATGGGAAACAGAGAACCAGACTTCAGGTGTAAACTGGAGAGGACTTTGCTGCCAGCAAGGTGCCCTTTGAGGTAGTTGCAGCTCAAAAGATTGTTGAAATGAGCAGAGACAGCGTTTCACTAGAAGCCAAGAAAAAGAGTAGCTTAGGTACCATGTTGGATGTAGGGGATCTGTGATATGGTACTGTCTCTGCGTGCTCTGAAATACTGTAGTTGAAGAGATAAAGTCTTCAAACGCGTCCTTGCCTGAACAATAGCTGTTAGGGCTTGCAAGACACCACTGATGTAGGACTCTGGAAACCACCCCAGAAAAACCATGGAAGGGGTGAGAGAAATAGTTCTGTAGCGTGTAGAGCTCACAGGAAGGGGTCTTTGGGGGAGGGATAGGAAAAATATGGTGAGGGAGAAGAAGCTGTTCAAAGGTATGAAACAACTTCTGTACAAGCAGCAGCTGAATAGAATTGGACTCTTCAGCCTGTCAGTGGTGGAGTGCCGTGGCAGAGACTGATAAAATTGTGAGTCTGAACTGCAAAAACAGCAGGTGACTTCAGATTCTTGTATTATTCTTAGTTGTCATTTAGACACCCCAAAACCTGAGCAAGCCTCTGGTGCTTTGCACGCAGCTTTCTTGACATGTTTGAGTCACAGCTGAGGGTACTTTGCAGACACTTATCATATTGGGAGGGGATGCACAAAGCAGAAATATTAAAATGAAATGGATGATGGAGCTTGGAATAACAAGCATTCAAAGGGGGGATCTGAAATCATGGGCAACACATTCACCATCACCTCTCCATTTTGAAGAGAATTTCAGTGCCAAAGTCATGATATTTCAGTACTCTACTGATATGACAAAAACAAGCAGAGAGAACTGTATTGAATGAGGAAATATCACGTGAGTTAAAAAAAAATATATATATATAACTTTCTTGGAAATTATCCCCTCCATCTTTCCCCCCCTTTTCATCACACAGGCACACTCACACCTACCCATAGTCTCCTTCCCCCAGATCCTAAAGGGCAAAGGCATCAGTTGGGTGATGAAGAAATTAAGAAGTAGCCCAGCTGTACAAGAGGATATTAGCTAATATCAAAGTTCTTGTTTGGCATCCCAGCAAGGGTACAGGGTTGATGTATTTCTGGAAGATACCTCTGTATTTTTCCTTTAACCTCCTCTGACTTCTGAGAACTTTTGCGTAATTGCCCATTTCACAAATCTCTAGCTGTACCAGAAAGATTTGTTGCCCTGAGGTCAAGATGCAGTTGTGTTGTGTCATTGCTGAAGCCTGTTCTCATTTCTGGTTCTGGCAGGCTGGCTACTGGCTTCAGTGAAGGTGATCTGTGTGAACTCCAGTCCAGATCTGAAGGCACAAGAAGAAAATTCACAGTGGTGAAACTTGGATCATTTGAACGCAAATCTGAACATCACAAATACATGCCTGTAGCTTTTTCCACAGATTTTGGAAATGCAATAGAAATTTCCACTGAAAATTTCAGCTGATTCATAATGGTTACTGCTGCAGTTAACCAGGTTTGGAGTGGGCCTGCTGACTGGATTTGTTGAGCAAAAAGCCTTGCAGTAGAAACAAGCAGAAAGCAGAAGGATTCTAATGGAATTTCCACCTTGAAAATTTCATTTGAGCATAACCCAGGGAGATATGCACAGTAATGGAGAGCCTGATCTTACAAACAACCTGCTCCCTGATTCCTTCCATCGTATTTGATGGCATTCGGCACTTCATACAATCCTGTGTGTGATCAGGTAGCCATGGATTTCTTCATGTCAGTAAGAGACCGTGCCAGCAAAAATTTTCCTCTAGAAGCAGTCAGGCAGCTCAGAGGCCAAATTAATCCCTTTATAACTGAACCAAATGAAGTTACTCTTTCAATAGTATTGTTACTGGTCCCATGTTGGTGAAACAACCATTTGCTCTGAATGAAATGACTCAACTCCTTCCAGACAAAAAAGTCTGAGCTCTGAAGCTGAGCTCTGCCATCCCCCTGACATGCTAGGGTTGTCATGGTGTTGCAGAGAACTCAGGGAGGAGGTAGAGAGGACTCCCAAATAATTTGGTGGTAAGGAAACTGTTCTCTTCTTATAAGGTTTTCTTTAGCACTCTATAACAAGCTCCACCTATCTGACAAATAGTTGACTTCTAGTTTAAGAGTTAGAAGCAGGCTCATATTTATTATATTAAGCTTCTTTTAAATATAATGCAATTTATATTTCCAGTGCAAAGATAGTCAGAGAAGGCGTGTTGCTTATGAGATACATTTATTATCCTAAGCCTCCCACCCCTGGGACACGTTAATCACATGTGGATTGAATTCACATGGACTTTTCTGGGAATACTGGACCACATCACACTGAAATGGCAACAGCTGGAATTATAGTTGTTTTTCATCAAGTATATTTGAATGATCTTACCTTGGCAACCATCAATACTCCTTGTCAATCCTTCTAAAAGCAGTTTCTCCTAGTGTAGTTTCATGGCTCTTTTAATTGCAAGTTAGACTAGGCCAAATTCTTACTCAGCTTTCATTTGGAAAAAAAACTCCCACAGAAATGTCTTTGAGAACTTGTATAAGTGAGGGCTCAAGGAAAATGTAAGCCAAAACATTTTGTCTGGTTGAAGAGCTACAGAAAACTGCATCTCTCGGTAGTCCCAACCCAGTGCTATCACTGGTTTCCCCGAATTATTACTGATGAGCTTTTTTTGCATGTCCACTGTTTAAACTTTGCCATCCTTCCTTGAGTCCCGTCGTAGGCTGAGTATCAAGCTGAAACTTCTCTCATTCAAGACCATTTACTACTACACTGCTGTTGACATTACTGAACATGCGTGTCATTAAAAGCCCTGCATTGGGCAACACTTGCATCTTCTTGGGTTCTGTATTTGTAGGTCTTTTCTTGGCATTACAGTCCTATTGAAGGGCTTTGTGAGAAGCTGCTGAAGAGTGTCTCTCCATGACCTCGTAGCTCTTGAGTCCTTGGTATCTTTTCCTTGGCGGCTCCAATTAGGGTATGAGAGCTTTTTTTTTTTTTTTCTTCCATGTGTGCAACAAGGACTTGTGGAATAGGTGGCATCCTCCAGGATAGGAAGGTGTCCAGCTCTCTTTCGGTGCTCCATGCAGGGCGGCCTGAGCTCCCAAGGCACCCTGAGCCCCATCACATGGGCATTTCTCAGAAGGGCTCTGAAAGAGAAACCAAGACGTGGCCACTGTGTGTGTTAGTCACCAGCCATGCATTCGTATGTGATCTGTGTGGAAAGAGCATTGATGCTGGAGTACTTTTGTCCTGTGGGTGTATGTACATGCAGACATGCCTAGTTGCTCAGGGACTGCATGGTGCTGTGGCTGATGTAGGTAGGATTATGTGTTTTATTTGGACTGTGGCTTTGCCAGTTGTAGAGCTTATAAACCATGTGGATTTTCCTAGAACATAATTCAGTAGAAGTAATCAAAAATATTTTAGACAGATTTGGAGAATATGTTGAGCTGGTTTTATCTGTTTATAAAGACGAATACTTTAGTTAAAAGTTTGAATCTTTAGAGTTAAAAATCCCAGAAAAAGTTAAATAATCTTGTGACACTAAATAGAAGCCTCAGCACTTTCCAGAGCTTCAACTAAGTCCTTTCTGCTCCCTGGAAAAACTGAAAATTCCCCATATCCTTTGTCACAGAGCTCTTATTTCAGCGTTGGCAGGATGGGAGAAGAGGAAACTATGAAAAAGTCCCGAGTCTCTGACTGGAGGGTAGGCAACTCATTTAGAGCAAGAAGGAGAGAAGCTAGGTTGATTTATAAACTGCTGCTGTTTGGAGTTACCTGTAGGATTGGGATGTGTTATCCTATAAATCGCAGAAAGATGGATGACTAGACAGAGGACAGGAGAAGCCGTGGGAGAGATTCACTTATTAAAAATCTCTACGATTTATTGTGTTGTGATCCGAGCTAACCCACTGGACATCACCTTCACATGGTAGCCCCGGTCACGTAATACACAGCTAAAAGGTTCCTGTAAATCTGCAAGGGACTGTTACTGGCTACTTTCCTGTCTTGATTTACAAACATTTGCCCAAGAAAAGGAAGGAAAGTTCTTTAAGCGAAGCCCCTTTATCTGTGGCAAAATATTTTAAGAAAACATGTTTGGGGCAAATGCTGTTCTAAATCTCCCTGGGTTATTTTCTTTCTTGTTTTGTGAGATTACTTTGTTGTCTTCGTGGGTTCTTATCAGTACAATGCTTGTGACTGGTGTGAGGGAAGGGTCCTATGGTTAATATTTTATTTTGGCAAAGCTCAGATCAATACATTGTGCTCTCTTTTTAAATTTCATTTTATATAGGCTGCTTCTTTTCCAGGGCTGGCAATTTCCTCCACAACCTTTCTGTCTACAGGTCTTTGAAACTGATGTGAATTTGTCTCTCACAACTTCTGACTTAATATTGATGTTGTGACTTGGAACGAGAGCTCCAGGAAAGGGCAAGACAAGGTGTCCAGCCTTTATTTGCTGTGCAGCCTTTTTTGGCCTGTGAGTATCAGCTCTTGCAAACTATGCGGACTCTGGCTTGACCTCAGCTTGTCAGGAAAGCTGTAACCCTCCTGCACGTCCTCACCCCCTCAAAGAGTACTCAGGAGGAGACACAAGTAGGGA